CCCGCCTGCTCCTGGCCTCCAAGCAGCTGGGCACGCCGGCCGCCGACCTGGCCTGAGCCCTCGGGTCCAGCCACAGCCTGGCCGCACACCTGCTTGGAACTGCCTGGGCCGTCAGGGCACCTGGGTCACACTGGGCCCTCCTCAGGAACTCTCTCCCTGCGGGGAGGCGAGTCTTAGCACTGCCCCCACTTCCCGGCCCCTGATTGGGTGATGGCAGTTGTTCCCACCCTTCCCTGTTTGTAAATATTCTGTGGAGAAAAGGGGTCTTTAGGGAGTAAAGAAGCAACTGCCATCTGTGTCTGTACTTATGTTCAAGACATGACAGAGGCCAGGCTGGGTGGCTCAGCCTGTCATCCCAGCACTTTGGGAGGCCGAGTGAGTGGATTGCCTGAGCCCGTGGGTTCGAGACCCGTGTGGGCAACTTGGCGAGACCGCCTCTCTACAATAAATCAAAAAGTTAGCCGGGCATGGTAGCCCACGCCTGTAGTTCTGGGTTCTTGGAAGGCCGAGGCGGAAGGATTGCCGGAGCCCAGTAGGTCGAGGCTGTGGTGGCCAGGAGCTTGCCACTGCAATCCAGTCTGAGTGACAGTGAGACTCCAACTCAAAACAAACAAACGAAAAGACATGACAGGGGAAGGGGTTTTGCCCCCCAGCAGCCCCATCAAAGCTCCCAGGACCAGTTGTTGGTGCAGGCCCTGGGCTCATTGGCTCAGGGTTGGACTGGGTGTCTAAAGCAAAGCCGACCCTTGGCCTCTCTCCCCTAAATGCTTATTTGGTTCTGTTGGGAAGTGGGTGGCAGTGTCCCACACCTCCCTTGTGTAGCTCTCCAAGCCCTGGAACCAAACCTGAGGGGCTGAGATAAGGGACAGGGGAACAGAGTGTGGGCCTTCAGGGACTAGGAGGGCCTGCCAGTCCTCCCCAGGCCCTGCCCTAGCAAAAGCCTCACTCCTCTGCAGTCACTGAGCACCTGAGCTTGGTTCTCCCTCGACCACCTGGCCACATCTCGTAGGGTCCGGCTTCGTAGTGGCTTCTCTGCCTCCGTCGCCTGGGTAGTGTTTCCATGGCCTGGAGGAAGTTGGCCCTTGACCCACTTCTCACCAGCCCATGACCTGTCTGTCCCTCCCCAGGCTGGGCCTTCCATGAGTGGCATCAAGTCCAAACACGGACCTGGTTTGAACCCTGTTTTCTTGATCTGAGGCCCAGACAGGGCACTGACTTGTATTAAATGTCTCTCCCAGCCCATTCCCCAGGCTGGTTGAACCTAGGTCCTGTGTCTGTTAACTTAGGCACCGATGGAATGAGGTAGGCTGTGAGAAACAGAGCATCTGGGGAGCAGAAATGCTTCGTGGAGGAGGTAACAGGCGAGCTGAACTTTGAAGGCTGAGAAAGAGTTCACCAGGCAGGCCAGACTCAGTGGCTCAGCCTATAATCCCAGAACTTTGGGAGGCCGAGGCGAGTGGATTGCCAAGCCCACGGGTTCAAGACCCACCTGGGCAACTTGGCGAGACCTTGTCTCTACAATAAATCAAAAACTAGCCGGGCATGGTGGTGCACACCTGTAGTTGCGGCTACTTGGGAGGCTGAGGCAGAAGGATCCCTGGAGCCCAGCAGGCTGAGGCTGCGGTGGCTGGGGGAGTGTGCCACTGCACTCCAGTCTGGGTGACAGAGTAAGACTCCAACTCAAAAAAAAAAAAAAGAGTTCACCAGGCAGAGATGTCAGAGGTATCCTGAGAGGACCAGTCTGGGCCTGTTGGACTGGAGTCAGGGTACACACAGAAACCCAAGGTCAAAGAAGAGGGAGCTGGATCCAAAAAGGTTGTGAAATGCACTGGGGACCCTAGGTTAGCTGGTCCCGGGACTGCCGGTTTTTCCTGGTTGGGAACTACACCAGCCCTCCCGGGCGGTGGGGAAGGCTGTGGTCACTCTGAGGTGTGTCTGCAGAAAATTCGGATCTGGCCTCGTGGTTGAGAGCCGTTTAGAGGGAAGGGCGGGGTGAGATGGTGTCTGAGCTGTTTGGCTGCAGGGAGGCAGTGGGACTTAGACTGGGAGACAGCGGTGGCAGTGGAGGAGTGGGCAGGTTTCCACCTCCTGCCGGGTTGGGTGCGAGTTTTTAGGGAAGAAGAGGAAGTTTCTGGCCGGCGCCCCTGAAGCACGGCCCAACAGAGGCCGGGGGAACGTCACAGTGCAGCCGTCCCAGGGCCGGCGCGCAGCGGGAGAGGCGGGGGCTGGAGACGGGACTTGGGACTGGTGAGCCATGAGATGAGGTCACTCGGGGAGTGTGAGAAGGACCACGAGAGGGCTTCCGGGGGTCGCCGGAGGTCGCCGCGGGACCTGGGAAAGCCCAGGAGAGGAAGGCGCGACCGGGCCGGCTCGCTTCCCTCT